AAAAAACCTCTGATTTTATAATTCCACTTAGCTCGACAACGTGTGTGCCTGGAGCTTGCATTTCATAGCGGTTTTTTTTTTTTTCCTGGTCTGATTCTCTGGGGAAAGGGGAGAAATCCCATCGGTGGGGGGAAACGCAGAGGGCGGTGGAGTGGAAATCCCATTTCTCCCCTTCTACCTTTCCAACTGGAGATTTCCCCGGGGTGAATGGAAATCTTCCCCGCGCTCTGGTCTGCTGTTATGAAACCCTCCCATCTTTTCCCAACAGGTGGGGGAGCGAAAGAGTTGTGCCTTATTTTTAAGAGCTGTCCGTATGTCGATCTGACTTCGTTCCCGTTTCCTTTCTCTTGGTTTTCCAAAAACCGTTGCCAATTTCTTTCCAGGCAAAGGCTCCCCTGCGGCTGTGATTTTCTTCCGAGGCGGGGTGGGAATGCCGCCTTCCGACACCGTGATGAGCAGGAGGGGGCGTCTTTGCGCCCCTCTGATGTTCCCCACTCCTCTGTCTGACGCCGGGTGTGTAAGCCTCTCTGAAGCAGGAGTGGGCCGCCGCCCGAGGGCGCAGGAGCCTGGGAAAGAAAAAAGTTGGCGACTTTCCAAACCCGCTCTGGGGAAGATCCGGGAGGGCGGTCAAACTGGTTGGGATTGGCAAGGGACGGGCTGAAAGGTGGCGGCTTCCGAGGAACGTGGCAAGGCTGCTGGATTGGGAAGACCTCCAGGTGGTGTGTTTTTCTTTTCGACCGGACCCCGTACAGAACGGGAAGTCCTTTGGGCTCTTTGCAGGCCATTGACCTTCTGCCTCCCTTGCTGTGTAGCCTCTTGCTAACGCCTCCCTCGTTGCAGAGAACGCCCGCCCTCTCTCTCTTCCTGTTGGGTAGGGAGGCGCTTGATATGCTCCCAATAAAGCCCATTGATTGGTTAAAGCCCCTGCCTCTCTCTTTCATTGTCCCCTTTCTGATCTAATCCGGGGAGGGGGACACGGAGCAACCCCTCCAAAAGGGAGGCTGCCGCGAGGTTTCACACAAGCCGGTTGGAACGGACTTGCCGGATAGGGCTCCTATCAACCCAGCAAGGGGGGAGCGGTTGCAGGAGGGGTTCCCCCTGTCTTCGACCCCCCCTTTTTTTTCAGCCTTTGCTTTCCCCGATTACCACGGCCTCAAAGGAATTCCCCACTTTGGAAGGGAGCAAAGCTTTAAAGACTAAAACCGAACCCAACGCTGTGCCTGGTTGACCCGCGTCCTTCTGGCTCATCCCTGCAAAGCGGATACCCATCGTGCACTGCCGTTGGGCTTTCGGAAGGGGGAGGGGAGAGGAGCTATGGCAAATGAAAACTAGGCAGGATGGGGTTGGAAGAAATCCTAGCGTTGGAACATGTACAAAGTTGTCATTGGAAACTTAAATCAGTTTATAAAATGAGTACTTGTGTTGTGCTGTGATGGGTCCCATTTATTGCAAAACATTTTAGATTTTTTTTTTTTTACTATAGGTGCTAGAGATGATCATTGTGGTCTCATGCATACAGGTAGTCCTCATTTAGCGACCATGATGGGGACCAGCAACTTGGTTGTTAAGCAATGTGGTCGCTAAGTGAAACCGCGACTCTCCTTATGACCTGACTTCAGCTTTCCTTGGCTTTACAGACCTGCAAAGGTCATAAATGCGAGGACTGGTCGTAAAGTTACTTTTTCATCAGCGTTGTAACTGCGAACAGTCACTGTGCGAGGCAGTCACTAAATGAGGACTTGTATAGAAATTACTTTATTGAGGAACAGGCCCATGAAAGCTGACATTGCCCTTCAATAGTGGGATTTCCACAAAATCTGCTTTGAAAGAAAGATCAGAAAGTTTCTTTAATGTGACTGAAGGAGAGCTGCGGGCGAAGGGGAGAATGGAGTTGCCAGAGAATTTGGGGAGGGGGGTTTAGGACCCAAGGCCACCGAGGTGGTTGGGCTGATGCATAGCAAAAAGAGGGTGCTTGGTATGATGCAAACAGTTGAGCCTGTCCGGACCCCTTTCGAAAGCGGTTTGCAAAAGCTGTTGCCGAAGCGAGCGACGGAAACGCCGATGAGACCTCATTTGGACCGAAGCCACGTCAGAAAGAAAGAAGAGCGACCGATCGTTTCCTTGAATGCAACCTCGGTGGGAGGGTGCATCTCTGTTGCGGAACCTGGATTCAGTGGGCGGTGTGAACCTGAGAAAGGTTGATCGTGGGTATGCAAGAGCGGGGTTTTTTCACCCTCGCGGTGCAGAATTCAGCCAGGTGCTTCCAAGAGGAGGGGTGTTCTTCCTGCCCACTGAGATCGAATGCCCCTGAATATCAAGGATCCTCAATATTCACAGGGGAGGGGAAGGTCATCTCGGGGTGGCAAGATGTGCCAACCCCCCTGACCCCCCCCCCCATGATATTCCCTTCCGGCATTTGGCTTGGCTAGAATTATTCCCTTCCGGCATTTGGCTGGCCTCAAGCTTTGGCAGACAGTCCTCCCCCCCAAGGCCTGTCGAAGAAGGGAAAGACCGACAAAGACGGCTGTTTTCTCGCAAGACAAAAGATGAAAAATTTTCCCACGTCTCCTGCGAAGGGACGGGATGCCAACCGATCCTCTGGGGAAACGCGGATACTGGCACTCCCCCCGCCCAGTTTTGGGAGCCACAAGGGGATGCCTTGAGTCCGAACAAAAGTTGAATTGTGGTGGGGTCTCTTGATTTTTGACAGTTGAGTCCATCCACCATCAATTGCAAGGCTGGGTTTTTCTTCTTGAGGGTCCCACCAGCTGTGCCCTCCTCCAGGAGCCTCTGTTTTACCACTGGAGGCCCCCATCCAAAGAACATTGCTGTATTTGAAAGGATTAATCCAGTGTTTCTCAACCTTGGCCACTTGAAGATGTGTGGACCTCAATTCCCCCAAAATCCCCCCCCCACCACGCCGGCGCGGGGGGGATGTGGGTAAGGGGATAACTAGTGCACAGGGGTAG